AAAATAAATGTATTTTAATTTTATAGTATATACTTAAACATATATATGAATGTTTTTAATGAATGGCTTTTATAATACAAATAGCAATGTGTAACATTTTACCATATTTAGTGCAACACTTTTATTTGTTCCCCACAAAATATTGTTTTTTCACTAAATGTTTGGATTTCTAAAATTATTGTGCACTGGTTTTTCTAGAATAACTTTTGCTGCCGAATTATCCACTAACCTAGTTTATGATGAATTTTTGTCATAGATTGTAAATATACATAGGCCTATATTTTTTCATATTTATTGTTTATTTTATTTTTCTTTATAATGAAGTAGTCTGTATCTAGTAGATTGTGAAAGAATGATTATCAGTTCCACACAGAGATATATAAATTCTACATTTATTTAAATGAGGGTAAAAAACTTCACTGGTATCGGATCGGTATCGGCCAATACCGAACTCTAGGTATCGGAATCGGTATCGAGGGCGAAAAAGGCGGATTGGAGCATCCCTAAAGGTAACACTTTATTTTAAGGAGTCCTTGTTGCACGTTACATGTACTATTATAATAACAAATTATGCATAATTATATGCAAGTAACCCTAAGCCAACCCCTAATCTAAACCCTAACCATACAGTAAGTACATGTAGTTAATTAATATTACTCAGTACTTAAATGTATAATTACACTGCAACAAGGACACCTTAAAATAAAGAGTAACCTAACTTAACAACAATTATCATAAATAAATATAATTAAGCAATGTTTTCTAAGGTGGTCATGAAAACCAGTAGTGCTTCACAAAGTATAATCATTCATCTACACTAATGTTCAAAATTTGTGGTCAGTAAGATAAGCATCTTATGCTCACCAAAATGGCATTTATTTGCTGAAAAATACAGTAAGATGGTTATTATAATATAAAAATATGGATATATTTTAAAAAGTCATTTATTCATGTGATTGCAGAAATATTACTTATCAATTTGGAAAACATTTTTGTGTAAAAACGGTAATTTTTTTTTTCAGAAAGGTTCAAACAAAAACATTTTTCCAACATTATAAATGTCATTACTGTCACTTTAGATCAGCTTAATGTTCCCTTCTGAATAAAAATTTCTAAAAAAATTACTGACCCCAAACTTTTGAACAGTATAGTGTATCTTCTGCTTGATTATCAATTTTTTATTTTTACAAAAGATAATGGCTGCCAGTTTAGAATCTGCAACAAATTTCCCTAAAATGCATATTTTACGTTGGCGCCGATAGCCTTGTTGGCAGGGCGCAGACATACAGCGTGATTGAGCTATAGGTGTCCCGAGATCGAATCCCAACTTGAAGACCTTTCCCGATCCCGCCCCTCTCTAGCTCACCTACCTCGCATCCTGTCAGGTCTGATCTGTCCTACTATAATAAAGGCAAAAATGCCAAAAAAATTCATCTTTAAAAAAATGCACATTTTACACAATACAATACATACTTTTTTATTTTAAAAACAAATCAACATGGTTTGAGGAGTTAAGAATTTATTCCGAGACCTATTTTGAGACTCTTCAGACAGTTCATGTAATTGAATACCTTTTTCAGAAGGCGCGTGGAGTCCTCACTAATCTGCATGAAGCGCATGATTACGTTGTTCAGATAAATGTCGCTCAGTGTCGCATGGTCTTTGCTCTCCCGTCGAACCTGGTTCAGCAACAGGTACCAGCAGTTGACCGGAGACAGGATATTCTGGTCTTTCCTGCATGTGAGAGAGAAACAGAGAAAAAGACACTGATCAAACATAATGAAAGGCTCCCGTCTGCGAGCTGTCAGGACCATCTGTGCACTGAACTCATGAACTGGATGAAACCACAGACAGATCCATCTTCCCAGCACCCATCAGCATGCTTTAAGAGCCATTCACGTGGATCACACACATTAACATCCCTCTCATCTCTTCCCTTGATGATACATGGCCTATTTAAGCATGCATGATCTGTGGATACTTTATAGCGTTCGTGCACAGCAACAGAACCAAGACTCACACCTAAACTCAAGGTGAAACATCAGTGTTTCTGGGACATATGGGACATTCGGTAAGTTTCTGGGTCAGAACTCTCTCCAGAATCAGATCATAACGTACCTGCAATATGACAAACACTGTATCTAGTATTTATTTACATTATTTTCTATTAGGACAAAAATAAAAAAAACAATTCAGATGTGAGTTTATTTTTTGATAATAACAGACTAACTGTACTTTAGCTACTTAAAAAATAAATACAATTGCGTAAAATTTTTTGGGGGCCAGTAAGATTTTATTTTATTCAGTAAGGATGCCTGATGGAAACTGATCAAACGTGACCATAAAGACATTAGGTTTATAATGCAAAAGACTTCAATTTCAAATAAATGCTGTTATTTTTAACTTTCTATTCATCTAATAATCTTGAAACAAAGAAACAAAAAATATTAAACAGCACAACCATTTTCAAACGTTTCTTCAGCAACAAAGCATTATATTAGAATTATTTCTGAAGGACCGTGTGACACTGTAGAGTGGAGTAATGATGCTGAAATTCAGCCCTGCCATCACAGGAATAAATTACATTTTAAAATATAATAAAATACAAACCAGTTATTTTAAATTATAATATTATTTCCAAATAAATCTTACAGCTTTACAGTATTTTTGATCAAATTAATGTAGCCTTGGTGATCATAAGAGACTTCTTTCATTAACCCCAAACTTTCAAACAGTAGTGTACAGTATAAGACCACAAAATATTGATTTGAGTTGAAATTTCTAAAAACTCATCTTCTGATAAGAAAGTTATCAACATAACAACAAGATGAATACTGGAGCAAAATCACAATATTAAATGTATCTATTACTTTTAATCTGCAATCAAATTGTATCTCATCTAGTTCTTTGTGTCTCCTTCCAGATTCTTGTTCTTCCAAAAAAAGTAACGACGCAAAATACCTGTGTGACATGGAGGAGAAAATCTTACAGTCTTAAAGTCTAGATTCTAGAACTAACTACTAAATATGAGCAATAGCAACAGAAATTGTTGCTGCAGTATCAAGTCTCACAAAAAAACTGAGAAAATGTTGCATTTGAGGAGGAAGTGATATTGGCAGCTGATAAGAGATTTTGATGCAAGTAAGGAAGTATTTTTTCAGCTCTGTTTCCCTCCTTAACCCTCCCTGCAAAACAGGCAATGCATTTCATCACTGCAGGTAAAGGTCTGCGGCCTGATGACATCCAATGGAAGTAGAGAAAAAGCATGCATCCGCACCAGCTGAGCTGATACATCTAGTTTTTAACCTTAACATTGTTCTACAAAAACAGGAAACGGACGAAATCCTTAAGTCTCAAAGATGATAGACATTCCTTGGAGTAACCGGCTTGTTTAGAAGCCAGGGTTGAAGGATCAGTCATCTATGTGAGACTGTATCAAATGGATAATCTAATTGATCTAAAAGCCTAAAGATGCACGGTCGCAATATGAACACGCCGGGGATTCAGATTGCAGGGAGAATTATGGGAGCCTGTGCACTTTCTGTCAGTCTGCAATTACTGTAAATCCTTTCACAAGACTGTCTCAGCCTCTTGAGCACGCACTCAGCTCTCCTCCTCGCATTGAGTGTGTACCGCATGTTAAGAATGTGGCGGAATCAAGCTGGGTTGTCAGGAAGCTGAAGGTGTACACGTGATTCGGATTCATGAAGTAGCGTTGAAGTTAGTGAAGTTCTCGAGCGTTGAAATGCATGAATAAAGAGAGTAATATTAAAGTCACAAGGCCAAGACATGCCTGGTGTTGAGCGGTGTGGAGGATAAGAGAGAACTTCTACCTCACAAATGGAAATAATAGTGTGAAAGATCACATTTTACAATACTACAATATTATGAATACGAATATGAAGACAGAGAGAAAGAGAGCTTGCATTTATTTATTAAATAAAGACATTTAAAATTATATATTTATGGGAATATGGGAATATGGCATTCTATATCTAGAGCTTACATGATATGCAAATAAATGCATAAATATATATTTTTAAAAGTTTAAAGTTAAATATATAAAAAGAAAGTTTAGCGTGACAGAACAGGTAATAGCAAGGTTATTATTGTTTACTAATACTAAAACTATACAAAAAATGCTTACTTGAAATAAACATTAGCTGAAATAAAATAAAATACATTTTTAACTTACTTTATTTCAGTTAGTTGCAAAGGTTCTCAATTTCGTTTAGTTTAACTACAAATACTATAATAATAATAATAATAATAATAATAATATATATATATATATATATATATATATATATTAATATGTTAATTAAATAAATTAAAATATATATATAAAAATGAAATCAATAATGTATATAGTTAATAATAAATAAGAATTTCTAAAATATATACTAACATGCATGAAAAAAGCACTAAAATAAACTAAATCAATTAAAACTACTAAATAAAAAAAATTATAAAAACTACCGTATTGTCCCGAATATAAGACGATATTTTTTTCTTGGAAATACATCTGAAAAAACGCGGTCGTCTTATATTCAGGGTCTAGACTTTGACATGTCAATAATACACCCACAACACTAGGTGGCGCCAAATACGCATAAAACGAGTGTGCCATGAAATACGTAATGTAATGCGTGTTGTAAATATCGCGAGTAAAAACAAAAGAGAAAGAAAACCTTACAGCTGCATGAGGCATGACTGTCACGTTAGCCTGATGGCAACAAACTCCCTTTGTGATTTTAAAACGTAAGACAGTACCCAGATTTGAAGACTACAGTAAAATTTAACTTCTACTGTTAATAAGATTTCGGTAGGCTACTATTAGATGGATAGCCTAAATGTCCTAATTCAGATGGGCTACCTGTTTTTTGTTTTTTT